AGCGTTAACGAAGATTCTTATAACGAAGTCCTGATCGGCTGGATCGGCAACTTCATTATATCGAGGTGTGACTGTATGAGTTATTTGAAGAATATAAATAACAATTACCTTCATTATCATCACTATCTGATAACTAAAATAGACTAGTGATATTGCCTTAATAATATTGATATTTATTTTTGGTAAAATTTGTGGATAAAACCCATTTTTTAACTGTAATTTTATTCAGATTACTTGTAGATGCACTTGCCATTTCTATTTCATCATTGTCTTTATTAGACTTATCAAGAATTATATTGTAATCTAATATAAAATGGTCATTTTGGCTAAATTGAGATATCTTCGCACTAAAATGTAATCTTTGTGATAGTTCTAAAGTGATAAAATCATCAGGTATATCATCATATATCATTAAATTATTATTAGGTCATTAGAAACAGCAATAATAATAGGATTTAACTTATTACTATGACCTAATTTCAATATGTATAAATCAATGTTAAAGTTTCAAAATTTTATAATAAATAAAAATTAATATTAATATTTAATTTATTATCAGCTGAGATTTCTTGTTCTTGAATTAGAGTATCAGGTTCTTTTTTTTTTGCTTTGACTATCTGATTAAACTATATGCCAAATCTAATTAGTAAAGTTTAAAGAAAATTTAATTAAAAAATAAATATAAAGTCTAAATATTTTATCTGCTTTAGCTTTAATCATTGTATTTACAGCAGATTCAAGATTTTATTTGTTTTGCTATGACTATGACTATGACTTCTCTTACCTCTTCTATGGTCATCTAATAATAAATAAAAAAATTTATTGTATTTATTAGTAACTTTTTAGTTTTTAAGTCATGATAGAACTTTTGTAAAACAGTTTATTTATAACACTTACTTGTAACTTATGCTCCATTTGGTGCATTAATTTCAGTAATTTCTTAAACTTTTTATGTTCGTTCTATTTTAAATAAATATTTTAACAAAAATATAAAGTAAAAAAGTGAAAATAGGAAAGAAAGTTTTTTTATAATTTAATAAATTTAAATTTTTTATTGTAAATAATGAAAGCTTTTATGCAATAATAATTTTTAATAAATAGATTTTTATATCAATATAGACTTTGATACAATTTTTAATAATCAAACATAGATAATATTATCTAAAAAAGCTATTTATATATTTGACGCATAAAAGTTTTTATATGACTGTAAGCTTCGCCTTTATTGTTAATGATAAATAAAATTTTAATATTTAATGCTAATAAACTTTATATATTATTTAACCAAATTTAGTTTAATGCTAATTTATTAGAATAAAGTTTCACAATCCTCTTATTGTTAACAATATTAAATAAAACTTTTTAATATTTAACATTAATAAACTTTTGCATATTATTTAACCAAATTTAGTTTAATGCTAATTTTATTAAAATAAAATTTCACAATTCTCTTATTGTTAATAATTAAAATAAGACTTTTTAATACGTCTAACTAATAAATTTAATAAATTTTACATATTATTTAACTAAATTAGGTTAACAATGATCTATTAAAATGAAGTTTTACATATAAAATAAAACTTTTAATACATAATACTAATTATATCAAATAATGAATTCAATCTATATATAGTAAAGCTTATGTATTTTTTTTATTTTTTTTTATTTTAACTTTATATATTTTACAAAATTTTTTTTAACTATATATTTAAAATTTATATTTAATAAACCTTAATAAATGATAAATAATACATTTAATTTATTTTATATCTTTTGTAAACTTGAAAAATACGTAAAAATCATCTTTTTTTAACCAAACCATTTTCTTTATATAAAATATAAACCTTTCTAAATGTAATATCCTTTAAAGGAATAAACAGCTTAATTTGTGTAAATAATATTAATATTTATTAGCGAATAATATTTTCTATTAATTTAAATAAAGTTTAACTGACCATTTTTATAACTATTTTTTAGTATTAAGTATAGAAGGTAGTAAAACTGAATTTTAAAAAAAGATGGAAGTTGATAATGGTAAACTTGAATTACATGATGAGTCAGAAGTTAAAAATAATAACAATGATAATAACAATAAAGAGGTTGATAATAAAGGTAAAGATGATGATGATGACAATACTGAAAATGAAGATAATAATAATGCTAAAAATGATGATGATCATGATTATGAAGACGTTTATTATGATAATAATAATATTAATATAAATAATAATATAATAGAAAAGAATTACAATTGAAGAGAAAATGATAATATTATTAGTGACAATGATAATGTAATTTTTAAATTTTTCATCCTTAAAATATGACTAATTAGTTCAGTTCATTTACCATTTGACTTTGAGTTTCAATAAATGAACTTCTTGTCTTGTACTATTAATGCTAATATATATTTTAATAAACTATTTTTATTTGTAATAAAGTATGAAGATACAATAGCTGATTTACTATAGATAATAATCAAATATCAAATATAAATAAAAGTTTTGCACTTTATTTTAAAAATGCAACTTTTGTATTATTATTTTGTTGAATATAAAAACATAATATATATAAGTATAATATTAGCTATATTGATATAATGATTGTATTTAATAATTTTCTATCTATATTAATAGTAACTAATGCATATAATAATTTAATAAAAATCTTACAACATCAAAAATTTGAAGTAAAAAATATTATAAAAAATATAAGAAGGTTCTGTCAATTAAGAAATTAACTACCCTAATACTAACAAGAATATGTTTTATTAAATAAATCCAAAGAAAATACCATCTACATCTAAAAGAACAAAACTTTATTACTATCTATCAATTTATAATATTATTCAAAATTTATTAAATAATCTGACACTATATAATAAATTGTACTTTAACCCAGAAATAGAAACTAAAGTAAAAAAAGAATATTAGCATAGGAATCTTTAGACTAAATTACTATTATTTAGTCAAGATAAAATAACTATTAATGAAAGTATTTTAGTTTATTGATATTATTACAAATGAATAATGATATAATTTAATTATTAGATTATCAAAGATAATAAATATATCTAATTTATTTTATTTTTTATAATTAGAAATTTTTTAGCCAAGTGGATTCATTATATATAAAGAAAATATTAATAAATGAAGATTTGAACGAATAAGATTGATAATATCTATTAATATACAGTCAACTCTTGTTATAACGAACTCTATGTCCTAGACCTCAACTTCGCTATAAGGCTATAGTGAAGATTT